CAGGAGTGTGCACATACAGAGAAAAGGTCATATGAAAATATAGTGAGAAGACAGCCATCTGCAAGACAAGGAGCAAGGCCTTACCAGAAACCAATACTACCAGCACCTTTGAGGCAGGAATAATACAGGGTGGCACAGGAGAATAGAAAATTCCAGGCAGCAGTTTCGTATGACTAGCAAAAGGTTACTGTTGAAATAGCTGCAGAAGCTAGGAACTGATAAGATCCTAAAAACCCAGGGTATGGACCTAGCTGGCTAAGACCAACTGGACCCAACATAGACTGGATTTGATCTAGATTTCTTTATTGTTAATGTTCTCAATCACATGCCCACCAGTGCCATGACAATCCAGAGAACACCCATACTTGGTGTAAAAAAATAGGTGGCACCACAGTTCTGAGAAATCTTTACCTTTTTCCAGGAATTTTAATGAATATTCCCCCCCTTGGTTAAAGAAACGCATAAAGGTAGAAATTCCAAACTCCATTGAACAACACTGTCTTAAGTACACACACGATCCCCTTTCTTGAGTATATGCTTTTCACTTTGTAATAAATCTCCTACTGTCACTATTTTCTAACTCATCCTTGAATTCCTTCTCATGATGATATCAAGATCCTACACATTGGTATCACCTTGGCCTTAGATATCCAGCTTAAAACATACATTGATGTTGTTTAAGTCACCTACTTGGTGATGTTCTGTTATGGCAGCCCTAGCAGCTGATACAGAAACAAAGGCATAGAGCTGTCAAGCAATTAACTAGAGTCACTCAGTTAGTAGATGACAGAGGGGATTAGGACCCAACCTCTAACCACTGCAGCTCTCTCAGCCAAGTTATTCTTTCTCTTAAGCCAAGAGACCAGATGAAACCATCTCATGATACCAAGAATCCAGAAATAATACTTCTATATTATCTAAAATATATTATCTAAAATCATAAAGTATAATATATTCAGAAGGTAAAAGTTTAAGTCAGCCAAGGGCAATTTTTTTGGTAAATATTAAAAGTCCGCAACACTAGAAATTCATTTTAACAATGATCAAAACAGAGTCGTAGTCAGTAAAAGGTAGATTTATCTGAGATTTTATCCCAGTGGAGCATTATAAAAGAACTAAGAATTCTACTTAAAAAAAAAAAATAGGCTTTTGCTATAAGTCATAACTGAGGGTTACATGCAAATTTCACCCCTGACCCCACTGAGGAGTACTAGTTCCCCTGCTATTAGATCTCATAGCATCCTTCAAAGTTTCCTTGAAAACTTCCTCTCATAGTTTCCTTCAAGTTTTATTTTGTCTAAGTTTTTCTCGGTTTCTTACTTTGTAAAATTTGGATAATAATAGTATTTGGGGGGAGGAAAGACAACTTTCTTTTTACTCTTTATGAATTCTAAACTGGGGTACCCTATAACAAAACACAGATGAACAACAACAACAAAAACCCCACAAGTTTATCAACATCTATATTTCATATACATATATATGAGCTAGTCGGGGAATTAGTAATTTTCAAAGAGGTGCTTTTGAATTCATACTTAAATACCATCTTCAGCTGAAGCAAAGAAAGAAGACTATGGCAGTAGGGGTGCACTTAAGAGGAAGTGACCAGGTAAAGCCTGGTAAACAAGGGTAAAGTTTGTTTTGCATATTTAAGTCATCGCCCTCTCCATTGATAAGAATTTCTAGTAATTTAGTGCCATTCTTTTCTTCCTAGTACAGAGGGAGACATTCTTACAAATGGAAATTTCCTCTATAGATTTAAATTTACCTCACCAAAAGGTACTTCCACTCTGTTCTCAGAGCTGTTCCTATAGCTGCTGTTTCCTCAAAGGAATACTTATACTGAAAAAGAATACTTTGAAGTGGCATATTCTGGTCTTCTACAGTATCTATCTCACAAAGTGAGATTGTAGAAATTTAAACACATGACTGTACATAAAATGCTTGGAACAATTAGTAAATGTTCATCATTATTATTATTTGTAGCATTTAATGTTATTACATATGTCTTTGTGATTTATCCATTCAATGTTTGACTCCTTACTACCAGAAAATAAGTTTCCTGGGGCAGAGACAATGAACCACTGTGGCACACATCACAATGCTCCCTGCTATACAGTTTTTATCTATATCCGAGCACATGAAAAGAACATGCTTCTTTGCTTTCTTGAAGTTGGGCATAGCCATTGACTTGCCTTAGCCCATAAATTATAAACAGAAGTGTCACTTTTAAGTGGAGGATTTAAATTCTCCAGTTCTCTCTTCCCCTAACTCAGTGGATGTGAAACTGTTAATGGTGGAAGTTATCCGACTCATCGGCAGGGAATCAGTACAGGTGTGCAAATACCTCAATTCTTGCCTCAGAAGGAAGAATACAACTGAGGGTCATAACGCAGAAAAAAAAGACTAAGGCAAGTTTCAAAGCAGGGGTGGGAGTTAATTACAAAGCTCTAGATCAGGAAGAAAAGAAAGTACAGTTGGAAGAAGCCCAAGCGGGCATCTTGGAGGTCAAGTGCCCCATTTGACCTTGGGCTTAGGGTTTTACATGCTGGCTTACTTCCAGCATCTTTCATTCCTTTTCCAGTGGAATGCCCCAAGAAGATCACATACCAGTTAAACTCCACCATTTTGCATCATAATACACATGCCTGAGCTCAGTCCCCAGACTCCTGAAATCTTATTGGAAGCTGCTGATGACCAGTTTCAGGTGTTCCCTATCTATAGGGAGCCGCTGTTTCCTCGTGCCGGCTGTAATCAATTATTATTTTAGAGAGGCCATCTGGCCATATTTTAGAGGACCCCCTGGCCATCACGTGATGGTTACCTGCCTTTCTTAGTGGGGGTGTGAGTGGAGCCCTCTCCTGCCCGACTCATGCCTGGCTAGTTACCTACTATAACAAAAGTAGGTCTCAATATGGTAGTACAACACTGAATCCTGAGGACAGCTACTCTGAAGAGTAACCTGAATCCACAGCACACTTTGATGAGCAAAAAATAAACCATTATTGGTTAGGCTTGGGAGACTTTGGGCTGGGTTATTACAGCAGCATAATCTACACTACCCTGGCTATTACAACCATAATAGTCCCATTGCCTAGCATAAGGGCTGGTATAAGTGATTAAATATGCTCTGACTAAATTAATAAATTAAAATTTTAAATCAGCAATTAAAATGAACTATTTTAATCAAAGAAATCATTTCAACTCTATTCTGCATACAGGAGAAAAGTTTTGGAAATTTTCACTGATTAGTGTGTAGGGGTCATGATTCTTTGAATAACAAGTCATTATCTTAGGTATCAAGGTTAGAGCTGCACATGCTTTGCACTCCAGAAAGACTCCTTAAGGTTTTGTTGAATTTTAATTGAATAAATTTTTCTGTGAAGTGGCCTTCAAAAACCTTTATTTCTGCCATATAGACACTTACTTAAGTTGCCCTACTTAAAGGGGTCAGTGCCTGATAGAATGTCACTATATAACTCCATCTGTGTGTGGTCCCTGCCTCCATGACAACCAAAATCCAGATGCAGAAATTCTTCATAATCACATAGCTTACCCTAGAAACCAGAAGGACCTCGAAGTCAAAAGCATTCAGATAACATGTCGAACAAATTGAATTTGCAGTGATCTGGCCAGGGAGGATGGAGAGGGGATGGGCACCTGGTTTTAGTATTTTTGTTTCTCATTCCAACAGAAATTAATAGATTTATCAACACAAAGAGAAAAAATATCATCCCAATTTAATCTGGTTGTGGAAGTGTGAGCAAAATCTCCAAGTGGTAGTGGTAGAGTCAGGCAGAGGAACTGACTGCAGATAAGGTGCTCAGGACTCCTAAGAGTCAGCTTCTGGTATGTGAGAAAGAAGTGAGAGAAGAGCTTTTCATAGTATATGAAAAAGACATCACAGAATAAAGCTGTCCTCCAAGCAAATCATTTCTTTACAAAGGCTTGTTAACTCCTGCAGTGCCCTAGCTCTAGTGACTAGGGGACCACCGCCTCATTAATATCAGAATTGGGAGAGAACCTGACATCTGCTTTGATTGAAGTGTGAGAACTAAGCAAGTCTAAAGCATAGCAGGAGCAAGGAGGGAATTGAGTGAAAGGTCACTTAAGAAGCTTTGGACTCCGGAGAAGGAGTACAGTGGCCGAGCGGGGTGCCTAAGCAGGCGTCTTATCCCTTGGGAGTTGTGTGAACTTGAGCAAGTTAAACTTCTCTGTGCTTCCACTTCCTCCCTGAAAACGAAGATACAATCTCCAAGGACTGTTGTGAAGCCTAAACGACTTGGTTGATTCCTGAACAGCACATTGTCCAGTGCCTAGCACATAGCAATCACTCAGGAAATGTCAGCCTTTGTTATTAAGGGCCCAGTGCACAAACTATTCTTACCAGTTAGGCGACCTTGAGAACATTGTCTTCTCTGTGCCTTCGTTTACTCACCTGTAAAATAGAACAATAATAACTCTTACAAGGATTCACGAAACAACGCCTAGTAGGGTGTCTGGCTCAGTTATCCCACCATCAGTTTCCTGACATGACTATTTTCTTCTAATAAGAAACTGAAAACAGCGGCAAACATGCTGGTTCAGGCCCCAGGAAGCACAGTAGGGGTGAACAGGGATGAGGGTTTAATGAACATGCGGAAGTGTTTGAACTAATGAAGAAGGTCCTCATTCTTAGAAAATGCGCTGGTTCTCCGAGGGAACACCTCAAATGGTATAAGGCGACCTCTTTAAAGGCTGTAAGCTCATGTTAGAAAAGCTGAGCTAAATTCCTCAGGGCAGAGATGTGCTCACACTTCCTGGCATCCCAGTTCCCAGCACAGCGCGAGGCGCTGCAAACGTTCGCTGAACGCAGTGGAAGCCTGGGTCTGGCGTCCTTACTGTCCAGCAGAGGCCGCTCTGGGCCGGGGCTCTCGGGACCTGAGGGCTGGGAGAAGGAAGGCCAGGGGGTGGCCCTGTCTTCGCCGCGGGGCTCGGGTGGGAGGGGTTTGGCAGCGGCGGGCGCGGCGGCGGCGGAGGCGGCCCAGGGCTCGCGCCGCTGGGATGGAGCAGAAGCGCGCCGAGTCCCGGAGGGCACGCAGCTGACGGAGCTGCGCCGCGTTCGCCTCGGCTGCCTCGCGCCTGCCGCCAGAGCTGTCCGCGCCTCCCGGCTCCCACCCCAGCCCACCCGGCGGAGGAGTCGCTACCGGCGCCCGTGCGCTCTGTCCGCAAACTCCTTGCCGCCTGCTGCGGGCTAAGCACCAAACACCAGGCTACCATGGTCTGCGAGACCCTCTTCGCTCTTTGCATCTTAACGGCAGGTACTTGGCGCCGGAAGGGCAGGTTGCGGGTGGGCCCCAGTGGCGAGCGCGGGGTCGGGGCTGAAGCTGGGAGACCCGGCAGTGAGTCGTCGCGCGCGGCGCCTCGAGTGCAGCGAGCCTCCCGGTGCGTGCGCAGGTGTGTGCGCACTTAGATTTGGGGTGATGTGCGCCTTTGACGGTTCCGAACCCTACCGAGGGAGGGGACGATGGGGTCCTTCCTGCCGCAGCCCGCGCCAGCTCAAACTCCGGCTTTGTGGAACAGGTGTCTGGCCGAGCTGCGCGTTCGAATCCAGAGTAGGCTACACGGACTGAGCCTCAAGGCTTCTCTTTCGTCACCAGGTTTTCGGAGAGCACTCTGCCACAGTCTGGGACCAGACTTCTTGTGGCGGTTCGACCCTGGAAGGGATGAAAAAGCCGGGGAAGTGGGGGGTGGGAGGTTAGCGTCTGGGAAGGCTTCAGCAGCGGCTGCGCGCCTGGCGGGGCTGGTTTACCTTCTCGAGTCTTGGCTGTCTCTGATCTCCGGCGTCCCTTCCTAGTAACGCTTAGAATGATGTGGCACTAACAGCAGTGGCCCAGCCTCTGTCAGGCTCGCGGTCATCACTGGGGGGTTGCGAAGATACCTTCTGCCCCAGATCTCCCCAAAAACGTATCCCCTGAAAAAAAAAAAAAAAAAAAAAAAAAAAAAAAACTGTTAACTTGGCTAAACTAGCATCCTTCCTCCCCACCCCCCGCCCCTCATCACCTCTGAGAGGAGAGGCCTCCTAGCAGCCATTCTCGGGTTTCGGGACCACAGACGGCGGCGACCTCTGGCAGCGGGGATGGGGAAGAGGGGAGCCGGACGGCTGAGCTCGGCTTGGAGGGGACCGGGGAGAGATTCAGAAAGACGCTTTGAATCTGGAGTTCGGGTACCCATTTTTTCCAGAAAATGTCGCCCGAAAAGAGACAACTGGCTGTGGATAAGGCGCTGGTGGAAAAAAGTAGCCCGACTGCGCGGCCACTGGCATTTTCAGTTAAGTGTGACCCAAAGTCAACATAGCGCAAGATTCTACTCATGCCATAGTCTGTATTTCCTCCCTCTGAGCTCGTCGCGGTCCTGCAATTGTGGCCACGAGTCGTCGCGATCCCTTGAAAAGAAGCTAGCTGTTTCCTGGCAGCTCACAATGGGTAATGCAGTTATAAAGAAAAGTTTCCCAACTTGAAACTATAGCGTAGTATTTTCTCTACTTGCTGAACGTCCGTCTGAGAAAACCTCTTTCGCGGTGGTATCTCGGCACGATTTGGAGACGCGCCCGCGGACGGTTCCCGAAGACTCGCAGGCAGCTTTGGCGGCCGAGCGCCGGGCCGGGCTGAGAGAGCCTGGGTCCGGCAGGTGTAATAGGCAGCGGAGTTCCCAGCTGGCCGCGCGTAGTAATTCCCGTAATCCTCAAAGCAGGAGATGCTTACGTAATGACATGGAAGGTACCTTTACTTTCTCCTCACTCAAAAATATGTTCTTGAGGTCCCGAAACCCTTGAGTGAATCAGTAGAGGGTTCGTTTGCTAATTTGATATAGTGGCTTATTTATTTAATAATTTCCTTTTTTGAACAGCTCTGGCAGTTCAAAACCGGGATTAACCCTAACAAGCAGTGTATTGCAGCTTTCCATTCCGCCCCCACCCCACCACCAACCCAAGAAGCTGCTTTTTTTTTTTTTTTTTTTTTTTCCCCCCAGTGGTAATATCACCCTTGACCCACCGCCAGAGTGAGGAGACTGGTGGGCCAGGGACAGGCTGAGCACCACCCCTACCCCCACGCACTAATTGGGATCAGAGCCCAGATTGTCACAGCCTTCCAGCTCGGAGGCTGGAGACTCAGGAAGACATACTGCCTCATTTCCCTAGTTACATTTCCATGTGCATATCCCAAGCTGACAGTGATGAAGCTAATGGATGCTGCAATCCCGCTGAACTTTGTGCCTCTGAAGGAATCCCTTTAAGGCGTCAGTTTGTTGTTAGAGCTACTTTGCAATATATTGTTCGAAAAAAAATGAAAATTGGCATAAATAGCTCATGAGATTCTTTGTACCTTAATTTTAAGGTGTTTTCAGAACGTAAAATATCGTTTTTAAAGAAAAAATAGACGTGTTGGCAAAGAAGGGATGTGGGCCCTTAAAGTGAAAGCGGCACACCTGTTTTGGGGGCTTATCCCAGAACTCCCCTAGCAAATCTCTAGTTAGTTTCACCAGGCCTCCTTCCTTTTCTGTTTCCTTCTCTTTTTCCCCTTTTAGTCTTAGAGGCTTCAAAATTATTTCTGTAAAATTCTTAAGGTGATAATTTCTTCAGCCAGGAACAGCGTTAGGTAGGGGCCTATTTTTTGGCTCAACAAATCCTCTCAAAATATACATAGAATTTCCTCCAGCACATATAATGAACACTTGCAAATATGCATGCATTGTCAACAAGCCAGCAAAGGTAGATCTCTACATTTATTCACTCGGGTATATATAAACATATTTATGTATTTTTAGAGAAAGGGTCTAGCTCTGTTGCCCAGACTGGAGTACAATGGAGCTATTCTGTCTCTACTGCAACTTTGGCCTCCCCATCCTCTTAACTCAAGCTTCTGAGTAGCTGGGACTACAGGCTTACACCACCAAACAGCTAATTTTTTTTTTTTTTTTTTTTTTTTGTAGATATGGGGGAGGGTCTCCCTGTGTTGCCCAGATTGGTCTTGAACTCCTGGACTTAAGTGATGCTTCCACCATGGCCTCTGGAAGTGCTAGAATTACAGATGTGGACTGGTATGCCCAGCCTCAGTTGTATTTCTAAAAGGAGAGATAAACCTTAGATGGTCTTTAGTTCTCTCAAGGTTCATTATGCTAGAAAACTAGCATGTCAATTCTACAACTCATTTTCAAACACTTCTTATGTCAGTATAAGGCATATTGGAGTACTGATTCCACATTAAAATACAAACCAGAACCTCCAATGTTTGTCCCCAAAACCAAAAGGAAAAGAGAATGGTAGCTTCCTCCTTGAGCCCTCTCCTGCTTTACTCTGGATTCTCTTCCTTGTTCTTGCCACCATGGTTGTTGCATTCGGGTTTTTTTACAGCCCCATTTATTTAAAAAACTCCTTCAGTGAAGTATGAGATATATTAGAACTTTCAAAGGCATTTTTTGAATACTCAAAAAGAACAAAAAGGAAAGACTAGGTAAGAGAGGCACTAACTTCATGGTCCTATTTCTCCTGCCTTAGGCCTGCTGTGTCTGCCCCGGTCTTCTCTCAGGAAAAGTACCTTCCACCCTTTACCACGCACTCCGTGCAGACGTATTGATCCCTTGGTGATCAAGACCTAGATCACCAGACAGCTAGATTCCTAGTCTGCCAGCCGGCTGGGGATCCTCTTTGTGTTCTTAATCTGGTAGATGCCTCTTCTCCAGGTAACTAACATCTAGAATGCCCTTATCCTTGAAGGAAGACTTACTTCAACCTGCACATTTATGGCTCTGTACTTGATATATGTCAGCTCAGTAGCCTTATCACACATATATTAAAATAAACAAAATCATACACACATTTAAAGGAACAGGAAAGGCTGATTATGATATGTTGGGGTGGTTGTGAAGAGTCACTGACATTTCTTAGCCTGAGAAACTCTTATTCCCCTGAAATCTGTGGTCACAAAGATGTGACATTTCCTTCACATGAAAAGTGACCTGAGAAGGTAGATGGACCCTCTTTGTTGTTATCAGAGGCATTCACAGAGGCAGTGTTTCAAACAGTGCCTGTGTAGATTTTGCAGCTAGATTGCCTAGGTACAAATCTAAGCTTTACTACTTAACTAATTGTGTGATTGAGGGCAAGTACTTTAACCCTCTGCATTTTCTTATCTACAAAATTTAGAGAATAAAAAATTGGAGTGATTGAAAGTGTTCAATAACTGAATATATCTATAGATATGCAGTGCTGGAAACATAGCAAATGCTCAATAAGTGTTAGCTGTTGTTACTGCTATTATTCTTATTAATGAAGTGTACTGTATTCTGCACTAATTAGGTCATCCTCTCCAAAAGCAGAGTTCATATGTTTGCACTTAGACTATGTAAATCAAAGATCTCAACTAATATTCCAGTGCAGTGCCAGCTATTCCAGCAAACCAATGTGCAAATTAAGAAAATATTCAGCTGAGCCTACTAAATGCCTAATTTGAAAAGGTTAATAATGTGCCAACTCTGATTTAACACAAGAGTCCAAAAAATGCTCAGTCACAAATAGATGTGAAGTCTCACCAAGGACTTTATTTCTTCCATAGAAACTTTTGCAAACTGGTGTGTTTCAAAAACCCAACTCAGCTAAATCTTAAAGGTTAGGTCCCCAGAGCTACAAACTTGAGATAATTCAGATTAACAACTTAAGAAAAAACAGGTCATTTTGTCTGAATGCTTCAAAACAATGGCAATCATAAAATAATTGCCACTCTCTAATTTAACTTCAGCACTTGACCCCAGTCTAATTGTGCTTGTATTTTTATGAGAAAAATATTGGCCAAATATTATACTGTTTAAGTAGACTTTCGTAAGCGATAACTTTCCTGAGGGGATTACAGCACCCCACTGGAAACAAAGGACAGTAACATTTTAAAAGTGTTTCAAAAGGGATTTGATTGTCTTAAACCTAAATGAAAGAATCCTGCAATAGCAGTTACAACAGTTTGCTTCCCCTTGGAAGTATCTATCACTAAAATTGGACATATTAGTTTAGAAATTAAACTTGTCTTGTTCATAATATATCAAATGAAGCAGTTTCTTGGAAAAAATGTTTTATGTAGAAGACAGTGTTAATTCTAAGAAGAGGTGGGCAGATAGTGAGTGTCTGCTTTATCTGATGTTTTCTTTTTACTTAGAAATACAGAGCTAATATGTTATCATGTAGTTAATGTGGAAGCCGGGCAACTATTCAGTAAGACTGGTTTGTGTATGTAGTTCATGACATTTCTTTTTTTAGTTACAGCTTAAAATT